TTTTTTTTTTTTTTTTTTTATTTTTTTTTTTTTTTGAGACAGAGTTTTGCTTTCTAGGCCAGGCTGAAGTGCAATGGTATGATTTTGGCTCACTTCAACCTCCACCTCCCAAGTTTAAGTGATTCTCCTGCCTCAGCTTCCCAAGTAGCTGGGATTACAGGTGTGTTCCACTACGCCCAGCTAATTTTTGTATTTTTAGTTAAGACTGTGTTTCACCATATTGGTCAGGCTGGTGTTGAACTCCTGACCTCAGGTAATTCACCCACCTTGGCCTCCTAAAATTCTGGGATTACAGGCATGAGCCATCGTGCCTTGCTGGACCTAGGTGCTATTTTCTAAGTAGCAATAGAATACGTAAAAGTGATGGGATGTCACTTCTGGTATGAGGTTACAAAAAAGGATTGTGATCTCTCTCTCTCATTTTCTTTTTCTGTCTCTTCCTCTTTCTCCTCCATCGCCCTGGGGCAAGCGAGCTGCTTCTTATGAAGAGGTACAAGTGGACAGGAACTGAGGTCTCCAGCCAACAGACAGAGAGGACCTGAGGCCTGCCACCAGCTTTGGAAGTGAGTTTGAAAAAGGATTGTGAAGCCTTGAGAGAGCTGCAGCCCTGGCTGACAGCTTGATTGGATCCTCATGAGAGCCTGAGCCAGAGGACACAGCTAACCACACTCAGATTCCTAGCCCATTGAAACTGTGAGGAAAAAAATGTGTATTGTTTATTAAGCTGCTAAATTTGGGGCGATTTTTATCAAAAATAGGTAATAAATACAAGGATATTGCTTATTACTCAAAATCACTATATAAAGCCCCTGAAAAACTAAAAGCTGCAACAAGGGAATCACTGATACTCTCCAAGAACTGTTTCTTTTTTAGAGACAGTGAGAAAAGCACATACATGTGTTTTCCTTTTAGTTTTGGCCACCAGGAAGCTCAGAGCCAAATGTACGACCCAATTTTAATAACTGTGTAAGCCCCTATGACTTGCTTATCTGTGTTCTTATTTCTGGCCTCTCATTTTATTCTGACTTTTTTCTCTCTCTCTCTTTTTTTTTTTTGAAACAAGATGGAGTTTCGCTCTTGTTGCCCACGCTGGAGTGCGGTGGTCCAGCTCACCGCAAACTCCACCTCCCAGGTTCAAGGGATTCTCCTGCCTCAGCCTCCCGAGTAGTAGCTGGGATCACAGTCAGGTGCCGCCACGCCCGGCTAATTTTGTGTTGTTAGTAGAGACAGGGTTTCTCCATGTTGGTCAGACTGGTCTTCAACTCTGGACCTCAGGTGATCTGCCTGCCTCAGCCTCCCAATATGCTGGGATTACAGGCGTGAGCCACCACGCCTGGGCCTCTTTTCCTTTTCTTTGTACTGATTTTATTAGTTCATCTATATTTTTCTGTATGATAAAAATTATGGTAAGCCACCTCAAATTCAGCTTACAGAGAAGCGAGGCATTCGTATATATATACATATTTTTTTTTCTTTTTTTTTTTTTTAAGACTCTCAATTTATGGCCCAGAATGGAGTGCAGTGGTGCGATCTCCGCTCACTGCAACCTCCGCCTCCCGGGTTCAAGTGATTCTCGTGCCTCAGCCTCCCAAGTAGCTGGGATTACAGGCACTCACCACCATGCCTGGCTAATTTTTTATTTCATTTTTTTAGTAGAGGCGGGGGTTTCACCATGTAGCTCAGGCTAGTCTCGAACTCCTGACCTCAAGTGATCCACCTGCCTCAGCCTACGAAAGTGTGGGGATTGCAGGCATGAGCCACTGCGCCTGGCCCATAAATCATTTTTTAAAAAATATTTTTTAAATTTAAAACATAGTTTTGCACATTAAGAAAAGAAAGATTTGCACAGGTTGAACACAAAGTGCCTGGAGGTGATGGTGGAAAGATCAGGTCACAGGAGGTTGGCTCAGTAGCCCCAAGCATTGGCCAGGGGTGATTTGGATTGTGTCAGAAATATCAAGTGATAACGACGAAAAAGGGAAAAAGGATGGCAACCAATTGCCATCCCAGAAGGAGGGGCTGAGGGTTCACCCAGCCACCCACAGTGGGATCCTTTCTAAGTGATCCTGGCAACGGCTCCCCTAAGTCCCTCCCACCCAGTCCCGCCCCTCACCCCAGGCCCTGCCCTTCACGTGCACCATAATGCACCGCCTAAGTCTCTGCCAGCCAATCCGGCCTCCTTGGCCGTTGTGAGCTCAGCTCCCTCCTTCTGTGCACCTGCGCGCCTTGCCCGCTCCGCCCACCTCATTGCAGGGCAGTCGGGATGCGCTTGTGGGGGTGGGGTCCGGAGCAAGCGACCCAGCCAATGGGGCGCGGCGGCTGGGTTGGGCGACTGGCAGCAGCGACTGAGGTGAAAGCCCAAGTAGGCGGTGTCTGTGGAGGGGTAAGATGGCGGCGCCCGTCCTCCTGAGAGTGTAGGCGCCGTGGTAGGAGCGGGTGGCCTGGTACCCTGTGTGCGCAGCGGGGATCTTGCCCTCCATCTATGCCTACCACGTGGAGTGGGAGTAGGAGCGAGACCGAGCACTGGGCACTCTGCGACCTGGGGCCCTGGGTGAGGTACTTCGCAGTCCTTGTTTCCAGGTAACCACTGGGGAGTTGGCCGGGAGCGGCAGCGCGGGGGGCAATGGTGGAGGCTGGGGGTGGGGAGCTGGCGGCGGGAGTTCAGTCCTGGGCCGCCAGGGACCTGGCCTCGGGGAACGGATGGACGGAGTGGGGCCGGGCTAGGCTGTTCTGCTCCAGGGGCGGCCCGAGCCCAGGCCACGTAGCGGAGGTGGTGGGGTCGCGAGGCCGCCAGGAAGGGATGAGGTGACAGAGTGCAGCCGGGAGGCCGGGGCAGTCGGGTGAGGTCGGGCAGGCGGGGGCTGCGCTGGGCTGGAGTGCAAGGGTTGAGGAGGGTGGGTGCCAGCCTGACAGGTTTCCTGGTTCTCGGGAGGCTGGCCGGGGCGTGGGACCCTGTCCGCAGCACCCGCGAGGCCAGCAGCCACCTTTTGTCTTCCTCATCGCTGCAGCCGAAGCTTTGGGGCTGGCGCGGACTTGGGGGTTGTATTTCCCATTGTCTTCCTGGTTCTAGGACAGGTGTTCCATGGTCAGACCTTTTTGTACTCCAGTGCTAGTAAGAATTTGCAGACTTACTGGGATGGTGACATTTATGGGTAAACACGAGTTTGACCCTACCCTGGAAGAGATACTGGCATTTAACATATCTGGTTTCTTGGATTTCCCCTCGTATATTTCAGTGTGGCAGGAGGGGGAAATAGTCTGAGTTAAAGCTTCATCGGAGTAAAGGACAAGTATGTTATGTGTATGGCGGTGTTTTAGGCATTGGGATGACTTTTAAAATTGTTGCTTATTAGTATAATAGGATGCTCACAGCAGATTAAAAACACACGCTTTGCTAAACGAGCGATTGGATTGTGTTACTGATCATTTTTATTATTATTTTTTAATGTTGTAATTGGTCTGTTAGTTTTAACGCATTAAATTTTCCTAGGCAAGTTACTTTGAAAAAGGGAGGAATTTACATTTTAAAGATTGCTGCTGTTTCTTTTTTAAAGGGGGGGTATTAAAAACTTAACAGTGGTTGAAGGAATGATTTCAGAATTGATAGGTTATGATTTTAATAGAGACTATGTTTAATATTTAGATGTTTGTTAACAGTTACATTTGAGCAATTTCCTCCCCTCCTGTTGATTGGTAAATTGGTATGTAGACAGAAACGTATAGCTCACTAGTTTATTTCGACTCACATATTGTTGATTACATCAACAAGGTAGCACTGGAGTTTGTCTTGTTATTGGTTTGAGACTTCAGGGTCCAGATCTTTCCACTTAGCCTTCTTATGGACCAGATACTCTATCTCATTTGCTCTTAAACCAAAACCCTGTAGCTTTTTACAGGGGAAATAATGATCACATGGCCAAATGAAACGTTTTGAAAATTCATTTAAAATGTAGGTATTAGTTTACAGGAGTAGGTGTTAGTTTACAGGGGAAAATACATAGATGTGACAAAAAGCTCACATTTGTTGTTGGTGGTTATTCTGAACCAAGGTAATAGGCTGATTAGACCCTCAGATACCCTTTGAGAAACACTGAGTGTCTTTTATGCAAAATTTTTATGTTATTTCCACTTTGGGAAAGGACTTTTAAACTCATAATACCTTCCACCTAAAGTTAGTTGACTGAATAAATATGTAAGGAAAACATTATGCAGCAGCACATTTCAAGCATTTAAGAAACAAGAACTAAAAATAACTTTTGATCCTAGGTTAATATGGAATTTAAGCAGAATTATTACAAATTTTAGATTTTTTTTTTGAAACAAGTAGTCTAAAATAAATAGACCCTTTAACATTGGGGCATGGAAGGAGTACTTTATGCTTAAGTTCTTAAAATTGACTTTTTTTAAAAAAGAGTTTTTAACCATTTGATAAGCATACACTCTAAATATTCTCACAATTATATGTCCTTTAAGAGCTGTGTGTGCATCATGAAACATCAAGAAGTATATTAAAAGTATATATAAGTACTTTTAAGACTAAAGGTAACTGGATCTCTATAGTTTAAATTTGAATTTAGTATGTTGTAACTGAAAGTGTTGTTTCGGTGTGTAGCTGTGGACATAAAACAGTTTAGATGCTTGTTAAGGATAGGTAAAATAAGATATGCTAATAAGAGTAACTTGCCATCTATACAGTGAAATTATTTTAAGAAATTTGTTCAGTTTGATCAGCCTGTTTATAAACTACTTGCAAAAATCAAGTAGTTTATGAACTACTCATTTAATAAATGAATTTACGGTCAATTTATTTTGGAAATAGTTTATAACAGGCTGATCAAAATCACATATGTATATATACATATATAATCACATATATATACATATATAGACTAATTTTCTTTTGGAAGTAGGTAGACAAAACATTGAAAGTTTTTATTTTGTCAAGCTGAAAGAGACTTCAAATGAAAGCTGGTGGTTGGACACCTCAAGTTAGTTTCTTCTGAGTAGTGATTGCCATGTAGCAGTACTACTCAAAGATATGACTCTTAGGAAAAGAGAGTTTGAGCCCAGGCTGGGTGTGGTGGCTTACACCTGTAATACCAGTGCTTTGGGAGGCTGAGGCAGGGGGATCACCTGAGGTCAGGAGTTGGAGGCCAGCTTGACCAACATGGAGAAACCCCGTCTCTACTAAAAATACAAAATTAGGTGGGTGGGCGTGGTGGTGCACACCTGTAATCCCAGCTACTCGG